CAGTGGGATTGGGGATGGGGCGGGGGGCGAGGGGCAGTGGTGAAAAATAATCAGGCCTGGGATGTTCTAAGAACCCAAGAACCTAGACAGATAACAGAGAAAGTGCCAGGATTTTGTAGAGGCCGCTTTTCCACACATGAGTCCTGCATCTACACAGGGTTTCAATGTGAAGATGGCCATTTCCTCCTGGTTACTCTTTGTATATCTGCATGGCCAGAGACAGGGCCTGGATTTCTTGTCCAAAGGTAACACTCATGGAAGAAAACAGAATTCCATAGGCCAGAAATTGTACTAGACCAACTTTCCAGCACTCTTGAGACATTTGTGTTGAATTTTCAGTTCTGCTAGTGCAGAAAAGAAGCAAAGGGAAAAAAAATTTAGCCTGGCATCTGTAGTTCTCACCTGTAGTCCTAACTACGCAGGACTAGTTCAAAGCTAGTCCCTGTAGGAAAGTCCACATGACTATCTCCAATTAACCTACAAAAGCTAGAAGTGGGGCTGTGGTTTAAGTGGTGGAGCTCTAGCCTAAAGAACACAAACAAAAAGCTCAGGGAGTGCACCCAACTCCTGAATTCAAGCCCCAGGACCAGCAAATTTAAAAACAACAACAACAACAGCAAAACCAAACACACAAAAAAAAAAAACAAGGAGATTTCCTGGATACAGTGCAGCAAGACCTAGGCACCAAGTCTCATCTGAGGTCCAAGAAACCAATTCCATAGGATTTGCCAGTTTCCCCCAAAGCAGAGACCAAGTTTCATGTGGTCCCAAAACCAAAAATTTTGAGGGCTCTGCAAATACTGCCAACCATCATTTCCAAACATTGCTGCCACCCAACTACAGAGCCTTCCTTTGTCCCACCACCCAACACCATGGCTGACCAACAGGGCTTGTCTCCAGCCTTTGTCCCTTAACAGAGAAGGCAAAATACAGTAGGTTGCACTAAGGGCTTACTACACACTTCTCAGGACCCCAAAACCTTCCAGGGACACCCTCCTTTGTCCTGCTCATTTCCCTGAGTACCTTGTGCGCATGTCCGCTCTTTCCAGGCTTTGAGACTTCCTGGAAGTGCTGGTGAATTCAGTTTCAGAATCCGCTTGATGGCAGTGTTGTACCAGGAATTCCAGCCCGATCGTCACAGGATGCGCTCCCTCCACCCTTTGTGTAACAAAAAACGCCAACCTTTTCCACTAGGACTTCAATATAGCTGCTTAACTGAGCTGCACAAAGAGCCAAGGAGGGAGGACTTTGGCATTGACTCACAAGCCAGGGACTCTGCAGGGTCCTCTTTCCACACGCCACAGGCATGCCAGAGCCAAGGCTGAAGACCACTGGTGCTCTTGAGCACAGATCATCTCTTGGTGGAACAGCTGTTCAGGTAGACCTGAACAATCAGGCCATCTTCCTGGTGCTGAGACTCAAGATGTGAGAGGATTTGCCTCTGGTTGTCCTGTCAAGGCAGGCAGGCTGTTGGGGCCCTCTGTTGTGTAGATAAAACAGTCAAAACAAGAAATCTAGTAACCCCTCAACTACTCCTGCTCTATCCTTGCAAGATTGGAACCTCAAGTGTCTGAGACTGCACAGAAACAAAACCTGCACCCTTCCCCAGGCTTCATGTGTCTTAAAGTTTCTTCTAAACGTCTAAAACAAAATGAATGCACACTCACAAACATTAGTTCCTTCTCTTTGCCTCTGTCTCTGTCTCTGTCTCTGTCTCTCTCTCTCTCTCTCTCTTTATCTCTATTCTGCTTTATCTTTGTATGTGTGTCTGTTTCTTTTCTGGGAGTTTATGTAGATTTTCATTTTTCTTTATCACCCACTTACAATGCTGCTTAACATCATTATTTCCTCAGAACCATCAAATACACGTTGAAAATCTCTCCAAGCTAGGACACAGGCAAGGGAAGGCTATCGGAGAATTCCTAACAGACTGAGAAACATTGCGCCAGAATGTGAGAATACAGTTACAATATCTACAGAACCCAGAAACCAGCACCACAGCTACTGCCCCATACCTGAAACTCAACCTATTCCTTCAAGTGACCAACAGTCAACCTGAATTGGGACAAATATCCAGTGAGGCTCCTCTGACCAAAAGCTTTGGTGCAGAAGGAGGTTCACTAGTGAACTTTGAACTTTGACCCAAACCCAATGATCTAAGCCTAGCATAGGGTTCTGGGCACAAACAGCTGCCTGCCAGTCCCTGGACTGACCACCTGAGTTTGGTGACCAGGAGCTTCCTGAACCATGCTAATGCACACAAAGGATGCTCTTCCTGGATAAGGGCCGAAGGATGTCAGGTTCATGTTAAGGCCCACAAAGAACACCCAACCCTTCAGCTCAAACCCTAAGTATACTGACTCACATGTTCAGTTGATGATGTCTATGTAGGAGCCACTCCCAAAAGTGGCTCAATGTTGTTTCATCACACCATTGGCAAGGGGATCCAGAAGGGACAAGCCTTGAAACATATTCACCTGTGACCATCCATTGCTGAAAATGAGCATGGGATAGAGCGCAAGGCTAGAGAGCATTCAGGCCTGGCATGTGCTCAGCACAGGAGAACATGGAGAGATGCAGAGCAAATATCAAAGTCTGCAGGGGACCCCCACTCTTCCACACGGGGGTGCTGTAGCTACATAGAGCTTCAATGTCAGGATGGCCATTTCCTTCTGGATACTATTCCTATATCTGCCTGACCACAATGTGGTTCTTGTTTGACTCTGGGTTGCCTTCAGAATGGAGGCCCTCACAGCATGTTTTCTTTTTTGTTCTTTTTTTTTGCCAGTCGTGGGGCCTGAACTCTGTGCCTGGGCACTGTCCCTCAGCTCTTCAGCTCAAGGCTAGCGCTCTACCACCTGAGCCACAGCACCACTTCCAGCCTTTTCTGCTTATGTGTTGTGAAGGAATCGAATCCAGGGCCTCATGCATGCAAGGCAAACACTCTACCACTGAGCCATCTTCCCAGCCCCAAGCATGTTTTCTTTTACAGCATTATAAAAAAAAAACTCCCACCTGTCACGTATCTCAGCATTCAAAGGTGGCCACCATTGTCTATGTGACCTTAGGTAACACGGAACAATAGTCTGTACACCAGAGTACCAAAGGGCCATAACCTTGCCTATCCACAGCTGTCACTGGCCTACAAAATATAAGTTGTCAAAAGCATCCAGGACTATGTCTGATTTTCACCCTATCTTATCCAAGACCTTAGCTGGGACTTAGGAAATGTTGAGCTAGCCTAGAGTAGCACAAGCCTCTCCTCTAACATCAGGCTCCTTTGCCTGCTAAGCCTTGTGCTTAATTTCTATTGAGTAGGGAGGAGTGACGGCACGTGCTAACACTGTTCCCTGCAGAGGGAAGTAGGGTTGAGGCACAGCAGCTGCAGAACATTCTGAGCTGTCATTACTGGCCTAAGTTGATGGCCATGATGCATGCTAAAAATCCTCTGAGAAGGCCCATTAGAATTGGTCCAGATCCCTTCTTGGCCTTTTGGCTAAGATCAAGTGCAGAATCGGTCCAGGTAGGCAGGGTTTTCCCTAACCTGTGTCTGAGGGCAGAGCCAGGAAAAGCTTAGGAAGGGGAGCCTTTCCCGTTTCACGCCTACCGTGGGCATTCAGAGTCCTGGCCTGCAGGGTAGAACCAAAACACCTGCTTTAGTTCTGTGGTCCAGTGCTGTGCAACCAAGAGTCCAAGAGGGGGAGCAGCCATTTTGAAGTCCTAATAGAAAAGGTTGGTGCTTTTTTGCTCAGCAAAGAGCAGGAGGGAACAGGACAGGGCAGGAAGGGCAGGTTGTCATTCCTGGGCTATAACACTGCCATCAAGTGCATTCAGAAATGGAATCCACTAACACTCCTGCAAAGCTCTCTTAGAGCCTGAAGGGGAGCACATGTGCTCAGGGGACTAGAGACCGGCTGGACCAAAGAGGGTAACCCTGGAGGGATCTGGGGTCTTGGGAGGTATATGGGGAGCCCTTGGCTGAGCTGACCTGTGTCCGACTGGACTGAAGAAGCATTAGATAGAGACAGAAAATAAGCCAAGCAAACAGCTACTGCAGCTATTAGGCCACAGGATGCTGTGTCTGCGGTCAGATGGCAGCCATGTCTGGGAGGAATTCTGAGTAGTGTACGCAGAGCCCTGAGTACTTCTGGCTCTCTGACCATCTAACAGCCGGCCTCCATCTTTTTTTATTTTTTCCTGAGGAATCCGGCAGATGGCAACCAAGATGGCATCCCAGAATCAAGGAGGATCCCTGCTCAATACAACCTATCCCTTCTAGGAAGCCATGGCTGGAATATTGTGCCTGATTAGTGGCATCTAAACCAGCTGCCTTTGTTTCTGCATTGTGTCAGCCACTACTACTCAACCCTAGCATCAAGTTCTGACCCTTGGGGATTCTGTTTCGGTGACCCAGGAACAAAATCTTGTTTGTCTGTCTATCCTACACCTCTTTCACAGGCTCCATTAAGCTGTGTGTCTCTCGCCAAATATTCAAAACACACACACACACACACACAGAGTCCTTCTTTCTTTTTCTGTTTCTCTCTTCATTTCTCTGTGTGTCTCTCTGTGAGTCTCTTTCTACTGGGTATTTGTGCTGCCTTCCATGTTCCCTTAATGAACCCTTCAAAACCTACCTATGCTTTCTATTTTCTCAGGCCTTTAAGAACCCCTTGCCTACTTCATCAAATGACGTGACAGAGGGAAAGCTGGGGAGAATTCCTATCATACAGAAAGACATTTCCTCAAAAAGACCAAACATTGTCCCAATACCAGCAAGAAGTAGGGATACAACTATTATGTCCCTGACTCCCTCTTCACCCCAGGCCTTCTAGTGACCTAATGTTCAACCTGCATTGGGCCAAAGACCAGGTTTGGCCTCTGATAGATGCAGGTTTACTACTGAACTTTGAAACTTCGCCATCCACCAATTCCCATCCACCAACCTGAGCTGAGCACAGGATGCAAGGCACAGGAAAGGTCCATGACCTGGTGCTTCCCATCAGGCCCAATAAAGATGTTCTCCCTAGGACGGGGCTCCAGGAGGCCACTTCCTAGATATTTTTAGTCTTCAGTGCACTCGGTGAGACCTACAAGAAAGAACCATGTAACTATCCAGCTGAAACCCTGAGTGTACTGCCCCAGGCATTCAGTTGGTGACACCTGTGCAGGGCCACTCACTAAGGTGACTCAATGTTGCTCTCATCATATCATGGGCAAGGCATTCCAGAAGGGACAAGTCCCCAAATGCAGTTGCCTCTGACCTACCATTGCTAAGAGTGGGAATATAGGTGGTGGGATGAGGTGAGAGGTAGGCCTGACATATGCTAAGCACAGGAGAACCAGGAGAAATGGCAAAACAACTGTCCAGAGACTGTAGGGACCCTTCTCTTTCAAAGGTGGCATATATCCACAGAAGGCTTAAGTCAGGAGAGCCATTTCTTCCTGGACTCTACTCCTGTGAAAGACAGTGCCTGGATCCTCAGCCCACAGCAGTCACATAGAGAAGGGGATAAGTTACTTCTCCGGGGCCAGAGTGCTGCCTACTACAAGACCAAGTTCCCAACATTGATAAAGCCTTTGTGCAGCTGCATTCCAACTACTGGTGTAGAAGAAGGTAAGATAAAGCCAGGCACTAGTGGCTCATACCTGTAATCCTAGCTACTTAGGAGGCTGGGATTTAAGAATCTCAGTTCAAAGCCAGGTAGGACAGGAGAGTCCATGAGACTCTTACCTCCAATTAACAATGAGAAAACCAGAAGTGGAGCTGTGGCTCAAAGTGGTAGAGCACTATCTTTGAGCAGAAAATTTCAAGTTTAAGCCCCATGTCTGCCAAAAAGTAAAAGAAGAAAAAGAAAAGAACAAAACAAAAGATGATCTCTTGGATGGGATGCCAGAATATCGAGGTAGCCAGGAATGGGCCAAGGATGGCAAGACCATCATGGGTTCCTGAAAGGTAGCTCTGTGCAGCAGGGACCTTCCTGCTTGGGATCTGCCTGTGGCCCAGAAGAAAAGGGATGGAGGCAAACTATCCTGGTGGACCAAAAACCCCAAGATGCTGAGGGCTCTGCAGACACTGCCAGCAATTCCTCCCAGACACAGAGCTCAGAGCCTGTGCTTCCTGTGCCCCCATGAGAGCTACCATGTCTTGCCTTGTGAGCTTATCTCTAGCCTCTCACCCTTCCATGGCCAAGGTCTCTCCACAGTCTACCAAGATCCTGACCTCTTCAGGAGCACTCTACTTTGTCCTGCAGTATCAGAGTTTCCTGTATGCATGTGTCCTCCCCAGTTCTATCTACCCACGGAGAAGTGTTGCTGGATTCTGAAAACTGAACCCACTCAATGGCAGTGTTGTACCAGGTATGCTAACCTTCCTGCCCTGCTGTGCTCCCTCCACCCTTCATAAAGCAAAAAACACCAAACTTTCCTACTAGGAACCTTGGCTCCTACAGCTGTGGATAGGCAAGGCTGTAGCCCTTTGGTGCTCTGGTGCACAGAATATTGTTCCATGTGACCTAAGGTCAGGTGGACATGAATAGTGAATAGACATGAATTTTCCTACAGCCTTCCCTCTGTAGGCAAGGGTCTCTTTATATATATTTGTGAAAAGACTGTACAGAGGGGTTACAGTTACATAACTAAGCTAATGAGTACATTTCCTACTGAGCATTGTTACCTCCTTTGTTTTTCTCCTACCATCCCTTCCTACCCCACCTCCCCAACTCCTCTCTCCCCCCTACAAGTTGTAAAGTTCATTTCAACATACTGTCTTGTACATCTCATTGTTACAATGGGTTAACCTGTATCCTTATTTCAACATTTTGTTATTTCCCTTCCCTTCCCCAAATTAGAAATATATATATACAAGATGCAGGGCATCAAAATCAAATATAATGAAAACAGGGTTTATACCATGGGAGAAGAACATACAAAAGAAACCAAAAAATCACATAGTACATTATAAATACGTTGAAAACAATATCAAGCAAGAAAAAAAACACTTGTATCCCTATTTTGGGGTTCATTTCACTTAACATCATCTTCTATGGTCATATGTACATAGCTTTTGACCTTTTCTGTTTGTCCTAGACATATACTAGTTATTGCAAATAAAGGAAACCATGGGACCTATGTTTCTTTGGGCCTGGTTTACATCATTTAATATTTTTTTTCCAAGTCTTTCCATTTCCTAACAAATGGGGCAGTGTCATTTTTCTGATGGAGGCATAGAATTCCACTGTATATACATACCACATTTTCTTGATCCATTCATCTACTGAGGGGCATCTGGGTTGGTTCCATATCTTAGCTATGATAAATAATGCTGCAATAAACATAGTTGTGCTGGTGGCTTTAGTATGGCCTTGTTTGTGATCCTTTGGGTAAATGCCCAAAAGTGGGATTGCTGGGTCACAAGGGAGCTCTATGTGGAGTCTTTTGAGGAACCTCCATACTGCTTTTCAAAGTGGTTGGAAAAGTTCACACTCGCACCAACAATGCAGTAGTGTTCCCTTTTGGCCACATCCCCTCTGGCATCTGTAGTTACTAGATTTCTTGATTATAGCCATTCTAACTGGGGTGAGGTAGAATCTCAATGTTGCTTTGATTTGCATAAAACTGCAAAGCTTCTGCATGGCAAAGGACATAGCTAGCAAGATCAATAGAAAGCCTATGGATTGGGAGATCTTCACTAGCCATACAATGGACAAAGATCTCATATCTAAAATATACTTAGAACTCAAAAAATTAAATCCCCCAACAACAAATCTCAAAAAAACAACTGCCCAATTAATAAGTGGGCTAAAGACTTAAAGAGAACTTCTCTGAAGAGGAAATAAGAATGGCCAATAGAGGGGCTGGGAAGGTGGCTCAGTGGTAGAGCGCTTGCCTTGCATGCCTGAGGCCCTGAGTTCGATTCCTCAGCACCACATAAGCAAAAAGAAAAAAGCCGGAAGTGGCACTGTGGCTCAAGTGGTAGAGTGCTAGCCTTGAGCTGAAGAGCTGAGGGACAGCACCCAGGCCCAGAGTTCAGGCCCCATGACCGGACCCCCCCCAAAAAAAAGAATGGCCAATAGACACATGAAGAAATGCTCAACTTCTCTGGCCATAAAATAAATGCAAATCAAGGCAAGGGTTTCTTTACCACCTGATGAAATAGGAAATGTGGGGTAGTTTACCAGCAGTTCATAAAAAGTGGATAGAAATCTGCAAAAACACCCCAGATCCAAACAGAGATATAGGGAGAGACTATAGTACAGAGAAACAGAGAGAAACATACATAGAGGCAAAAAAAAGTGTATGTGTGTGTATATACGTGTATGCATACAGATGTGTGTTTTGGATAGTCAGAGAAAGACACACCAAGTCCAATGGATCCTGTGAAAGGATGAAGGGTTGACAGAAAAACAAGGTTTTATGTTTGGGCAAGCCCAAACAGAATCCCCAAGGGGATTCTGATGCCAGGGTGGGGCAGCAATGGCTCTAAGGGTACAGGGGTTCTTGTTTGACCCTAGGTTGTCTCCAGTACTTAGGCCCTTACAACATGCATGCTTTTATAGCATTACCATGCCTATGCTCCCATCTGTCATGTGTCTCAGCACCCAAAGGTAGCTACCACTACCACCTGACCTTATGTCACATGGAACAATATTCTGTGCACCAGAGCACCAAAGGGCTATAGCTCTCATTGGCCTACAACACATAAATTGTCACAAACATCCAGAAATCTATCTGAATTTTACCTTATGTTAAAGAAGACTTCATGTGAGACATGGAATAGTCAATGTTGAGCCAGCCTAGGCTAGCATGAACCTGTCTTCTGACATATGCCTGCTACTCTGGGTGACCTATCTATCCCTATGCAGCCTTGACCTAGATTTTGTGTGGCCAGGAGTGACTTAGTGTGCGAGGGATGTTCAATGGAGACAGCAACAGGGTTCAGGCATTGCAGCTGGGGGCCCTTCTGAGCTCTCACTGGTGGCCTGTGCTACAACCCTGAGCCAGTGGCCATGATGCATGCTAAGAATCCTGCGAAAAGGCCCAAGTAAGAATTGGTCCAAGGGCAAAGCCAAAAAAATGGTAGGGCAGAACCTGGGGTGGGATGGGATGCCTGGAGCGGGAGCCTTTCCCTTCTTGTACCTAATTCAGGCAGAAAGAAGACTCCCCAAAGTCCCTAGCCAACGAGGTCCAGCTAAAATCCCTACATTGGTTCTGTGTTCCTGTGCTGTGCAGCCCAGAAAACAAGTGGATAAGTAGCCATTTTGAAGTCCTAAAAGAAAAGAATGGCGTTTTTTGCTGTACAAAGGGTGGAGGGAGCACATGAGGAGGATGGACAGGGTGTGATTCCTGGTACAACACTGCCATTATTTGAATTATGAAACAGCATTCACTAGCACTTAGGCTAGATCTCTTAGAACTGGATGGGAGTGCATACACACAGGTGACTAGGAACCTATAAGACAAAGGAGGGTGCCCCTGACTGGATCTGGGGTTCCAGGAGGCATGTAGAAAGTTTTTAGCAGAGCCAACTGGTACCTAATTAAACTGAGGAAGGAAAGGAGGCCAGGTGGATGGCTAGGGTAGGTAGGAGAGTACAGGAAGTAAGTAGAGTATCTGTGGTCAGGTGGCAGCCATTTCTGAGAGGGATTTGGAACAATGTCTGCAGAGCCCGGAACATCTATGGCTCTGTGACCACCTGGACAGTTGGTCTCTATTTCAGAGGCTTTTTTGTTTTTTGGGTTTGTTTTTTTTTGATGAATCTGTCAGATGGGACCAAGGAGGGTGGGGTAGGAAATGTCCGTGGACCAAGGAGAAACCTAGACCAAGGAGGACCCCTGATCAACACTGCCCTATCCCTTCCAGGAATTCATGACTGGATTGTTGTGCCTGACTAATAGCATATCTTAGCCAACAGCCCTTGTTCCTGAATTCCTTCTAGGCAGTACTTTAAGAGTGCATCAGCACAAAGTCCATGGGCATACTGGGAATGCCCTGGAGTACTGGGCTATTATCTCAGACCTTCTATTAGTCACTTGTTCCCTTTTGTGGGTATTGCTTGTGAACTAGAGATCCTGGCCCTATCTCTGTCCAG